GATGACGACGACTACTACTACCACCACTACTACTACCACTGCTGTTGCTGCTGCTGCTGCTGCTCCTGCTGCTGTTGCTTCTGCAACCGTATGCTGTTAGATGTTGTACATATTACTTATGCAACTTACGTTAAACTGAAACGACAGCCTGCCTTTTTGTGATTATGTAAATGTGCACCCACAGAAATCTGAGCAATCCTGCTGCCAGGTGCTTCCCTACGGCATCGTCACTGAGATTCTGGCCTTCTGGAACGTTGCTTTCAGGATGGTTTTCAGCTGGTTGCATGCCTATGTCATGATTGCGGAAGAAGGAAGGGAACAGCAGTCGTGAAGTCATTTCGTTCCGAAGTGGCTGCAGGCTTGCACAACTGCCCGGCAGTCAGTTATGAAAATTGCCACGCAGGGGAAATCGCTTCGACTACGTCACGGCTGCAAAGGCACCCCAACACAGTTGCACTACGGACTACGTTGCGCCGATTTGGATATGTAATGCTTCAGATATTTCGTTCGTGGCTCCTGGCTCCTGTCGGCTGGCCAGTCGCCCAAAGCCGCCGCCGCTTGGAGATGTTCCAACGAAGACGGGTACAACGCAAATTATGGGGACAAGCTGCTAAGACAGCGGCCAGGTTTTTGTGCAATCAAGCATGCTAGCCTGGATTTGGTAAACCAAGAAGACTAAGAAGGAAGAAGGAGCAGAGCAGGCCGCTGTTGAATCCCGCTGTCCTCCGACCCGCACACCACATGTCCTTACATGCAGGCCGGTGGTCTCGTCTTGCCAACCCTAATAGGCTGAAGAAAAGGCGCAAGCAAAGGCTTTTCCGTTAAGCATGCTCTTGGGAACCGACACACATGTGCAGGCATGTCTTCTTTTACCTAGTTTTCAAGTTGGTTTTTGTATCCGACAGATAGAAATCATCCTTTATCATGGCCTGGGCATTTCCTTTGTGGGAAACTCCTTCGGTTGCCGATGAACTTTTCAGGACCGAGTACACCGAAAAACACCTATGCGACACACCAAGCGCTTTCAGGCAATGGCTTCATCAGAGCTGCCGGAAGTGCAGACGAGGCCTAATGAGACTGCAGAAGAGACTGAGATCCCTTTTCCTAAATTGCCGGAGGCCATTGCTGCGATCAGCTGCCTGAGTCATGGTGGAATGAGCTGCAGGATGCCGGAACAAAGATTTTCCGTGCGCACCTGCTAAAACAATTAACCATCAACCCGCCAATCTTCGTCGTTGGTGGCTGTTCAAGCCGGCTGTGCTTCTTTCTCACACCAGCGTAAAACACGCTGGAGGCACAGCATTGAGGTTTGCCGACAACTGAAGTTGCTTGATGACTCCACATGGCCTCTGCTTCTCGACAAGCATGTAGTCAATGTAGTCAAAGACAGGTGCTTTACTTCGCGTTACCCTTGGCTCCAGTCAGCAGAACGAGAGTATGCAAGTCGCGAGCAGCGACTGCACATTTTAAGACGGTGTCATCCTGGTCTGCTTGTCAGAGTGCTGCTTAGAACTCTATCAGTTGGGAGTCAAAGACTTGCTTTGGTGCATCGACATCCCCCAAGCCGCTCCCCAAAAACACGAAGACACAGGAGTACACAGGGGCAGACACGTGCAAGTCCCAGAGGGGATGCGGGATGATGACATCACCACTACGGTCCATGTCCTCAGCTTGTGGACTTGTCAGGTCAGTACGGAGCATTTACGGCTGTCGGCATGGCATTCGTAAGGTGAGCTGTCCAGTTCGGCGGGTCGGAGCACTTATTGGCAAAGCAGGTGGGTGCACAGACAACCTTTCACTCGGTGCAGATTAGAGAGCTGTACGACCATTGCGTCTACTGCTTGTGCCAAACATTGCATTCATCGTTCGAGGAGCGACGATCATTCAGCTGCGGAAGGCCTGGCGCAGCGTAACGTAAGCTTGACAGAGGACTTGTCATGTGACCTCCACAACCTCAACCAACCCGTTCCACCCTCCATCACGATATGCGCCGGCATCAGGAGACAGGTGCATCGATCGAGGTGGAGCGGTCGGACGGGAAGGAGCCCCGAGAGGTGGGCAAAGCCTTGCGACATCTTGCGACGGCCGAGCTTCGCATGTCCGAAAATAGTCGCAGAGAGTGTGTGCGTGTGTGTGTGTATACATGTGTGTATGTATATTATATATATATATATGTGTGTGGCTCGGTTCTTTAAATTAAAAGCCTCAGGTCACGATCTCAGGCTCTGACTCTGCAGTGAAAGATGCCGTGCAGCGGTCATCATCTCGGAGCTGGCTGGCTTTGCTGCTCCTTTCACAAGGGTTGTCGATAGATTTCTTCGTCAGCTCGCACTGTGCACTTGGCTTCATGTAGTAATAAATTCGATTACGACCATTTCTGTTCTATCCAGAATGACCAGGAGCCTACCTAATCCAACTAGCTTAAACTCGGGCGGTCCCAACAGCTCAAAAAGCAGCCTTGTTCCAAGCATTTTCCAACAGTGCCCGCCAAACACTATCTCCGATCCGCATCAGATGTACTTTCGGTTTGAAAACACCTGCAGGATATGGCGTAACCTGCGCTTGTTTTGTCAGGTTGCCTAGTTCCGCTGTTACTTGCTCCGATCTTTTGCCTGCATTCGACTCTCGCTTTGTTTGGCAACGCAAGGAGCATTCGATTGCAGCTCGTTTTCTGCCAAGGATTCATGACCTGATCCACCGACGCGGCGATGCCCCGACACGGAGACGGTCCCCGCGTGAAGCCCTGGAACTGGAAAACTTGTCACATAGAGGGACTGACACCTGGAACAGCAGTGTTAGCAGTGGCTTCACCATGTCACAGGCTGTCGACTCGTTTGCTGTGGCAAAGGTCGTCGGAGCGAGAAGCAGCCACGGATCCTCCGGCTCCTTTGCAAGGCTTCTTGACCATCCGGGTTTGGCGCGCATGGATTCGTTAAAGGTCGCTACTCGTGTGAATGTTCTTACGGCCTGAATGCCTGCGAGAGGTCCACCGATCCTGCATCCCCATCCTGCCTGGCCACCACCGCCACATCCGCCGCATGTACATCCACCACCAGGAACAGCATATCCCCCGCCGGTGCATGCACCACCAGCACATCCACACTATGCACACCCCCAATACCCAGCTCCTCACCCTCATTCACCCACACCCCCGCCACCACATCCCCAGGCGCAGCCTCAGTATCCACCACAGCAATACCCACCACCGATCCATCCGCCGTTGCAGCAGCAACCACCTCCAGTAATACCGCATCCGGCATACCAGCCCCCCCCACAACATGCTCCCGCGCAGCCGCCAACAGGTTTTCAGCCGCCACAAGCACCGGCCTATCCAAGCTATCCAGGCCCTCAGGGTTATGCCCCTCACAGCATCCCTCCTGCAGCAGCCGCAACTCCACCACGTCAGCCGCAGCACCTGCCGCAGTACCCACCACAGTACTCACCACAACCGCATGGCTACCCGCCTGGCCCCGCGCCACCAGCTTACCCACACCAAGCCCTTGCAGTGTATTCTACCAACCCGAGCTACCCAAGTCAGCCCGCCTACCCCAGCTACCCTAGTCAGCCTGGATATCCTACCTACCCTTCACACGAGCACCAGCCGCCTGCAGTGTCAGAAACTGAGAGGTCGATGCTGCAAAGGTTCGAGTTGCGGCGCCGCTTCCATGCTTGGATTCCCTTTGCTATCCTTTGCTCATATTATTATTCTATGCAATGCAACACGCGGACTAACGTTCAAGAACAAAAAATGTGTGAATCCAAATTTCAGTCTTGTCTGCAGACTTTCGAGACGCACAAACATTCTGCTTGCATCCCGTTCGCAGCAACCTGAGTTCTGGCTCAGGTCCAGCCCATATGGTGCGACCAGCTGTGTTGGAGTCTGTATGCAGTGCACGATTGTGGTAGTGCTCTTCAGCAGGTCATCATCCACCGCCGCAGCATGCCTCGGGTCCAGCGCAGGCCTGACATCGGCATCCCACTTTGATGCGCCATGATGCTCGATGCCGTTACGAAACAAGCTTCAATGCAGATTTCCCGCTCCAAACCACCATCGCTCGTTCGATGCCCTCTCACGGGGAAGCGATTGCTGTCGAGACACATATCCAGCTATTTTCAGTTGAGTTCCAACTCGTTATCACTCTGTCGACTTTTGGCTGGTGCCGATTCGCAGAGCCTCTGCTTGCATCGCAAGCACTGAAGCCATCTGGCACTTGGAAGGACCCGGCATGTGCGCATCCTGACAGCAGGCCGATTGTCTCGAGGATGAAGCAGTTGCAGACACATCACGTTTTTGCCACGCCAGGCATCCGAACACTGCAGGGTACATTGCTCAGAGCCCGCAGGCAACTGCAGGTGCAAGACATCGAGTTTTTGGTAGCATGGGTCGTTCCATTGCCCACTTGTCCGTCCCAGTTGCAATTGGTTGAAGGTGCTTTGGATCCGGCTGGTGGAGCAAGCCGTCGACGGCGCGCATCTGCCGCCAGAGATTCAAGCTTTGGTCATGCGCGTGTCTGGATGGTAGAACAGGAAAAGAGCATCGAAGTTAGGTGCCCCTGCTTAAGCTAGGGAAACATTGTGGCGTTCGGTGTCTATGGCATTCTATGGCGGTCCGCCGTGTGGTTTCTTTCGCAGAAGCGTTTCAGGCAGAAAGCAGCAGTCATGCGCAGGCAACGCCAGCCCTCCCGCTCCAGAAGGCGAGCAAAGTGGGCAGGAACATATCAGTTTGTGTCGGGGGTCGAAAGCTTACAGTTTATGAGTCAACGGCTTTCATGCGTCAGGCGACGGCGTTCTTCTCGATCACGCTCTTCTCGATCAAGATCGACGCCTTCGCGTTCTCGGAGAAGGACTGACATGAGTGGCTCTTCAAGCCCGAGTTGAGCGTTTAAGCCCGTAGAGACATACCCTACAGGAGGTGATCAGGTCCTGCTCATTTGTCCACGACTCAGACTTCCGGCGCGTCTCCGTCCTTTCAAGCACATCAATTTAGAAGATCTTCCAATTGCAAGGCAGCATACAGACACATGCGCAAGTGTACTTCGGCCGCTATATCCGAGAATATGTCTCAAACCTCCGAGGTGCAAGCCGCGGTTGGGCTATCTTCACAGCTTGCAGAGGTTCCTGAGGTCCAACGAGGCCGACAAAAGCTGAAGCAAATGCAGCATATGAGAAAAAGGTGTTCAAAAGAGACGGAGCAAACGCAGTGCCGCTGCACCCTCAGTAAGTACTTGCATCAACCCATGCTTCAGCATGGCATTTCAGGACCCATTATCTGTTCGGGACAAGATTGGGATTGTGGTTTCGAGCTGGGGATCGCACCTGGTCAACCTGGTGCTTGCATCAGTGCACGCTCGGCTCGATTCAACACCATAGCTTCCAGTCATTTGCCATCTTAGTTCTTGTTTCTTCCAGCATGCTGGTGTGCTGTTGGTTTCACCGTAACTGTCCGCACACTCACTTCTGTGCCATGAGAAAATCATGTCGTCATAAACAAGTCGTTGGGACTATGAGGAGCTCTCAGATTCAAGCCGGGTACCGAGGGTTTCTGCATGCCTGTTGAAGCATTTGGGCATCCTGACAGCAGGCCGAGTGTCACGAGGATGACGCAGTTGCAGACACATCACGCCTTTTCCACCCCAGGCATCCGAAAACTGCAGCATACATTGCTGTGGGAAGGCCTTTGGGTTTGAT